AAATATGAAGTCTTTATCAAAGAAATAGTTTTAATATATTACCAAAGTCAATAGGTTACTTTATATTACTTAATGATGTTTAATTCTATAGATCTAAAACAGATCTCAGGAAATCATCTCCATTTGTTTTATAGCACAACTGAATAAACAATGGGATGTTGAATGCTATGGTTTTTCTTCAGAAAAGTAGATGCTGAAACCACTTTGGTATCCTATTCCAGATTCTAACAGTCCTGATCTAAATTAAAAGCCAACCAAACCCTTCTTCTATAGTACCTAGCCATCTTTTCAAATTTCTTGAATGCTGCCAAATGGACTAATTATTTTAAAGCAATTATTTTGTTTTCCATTCTGTCATTTAATAGAGAAATTGCTCCTTTCAATTATAAAGGACTTATTACTTGGAATTTTAAAATTCCAGTGAATTTGTGAAATGTATTTTAAAAAATAATTCACAGGACTTTACAGGCCTCCCTGAAGATATATCTCTAGAATTTGAGGATGAGGTCATCTTATGCTTGCCATGGAAAATAATAAAAGAATAAAATTAGTCATATCTGGCTATTTTAAAAAATCGACTTCATAAAAATAAAACTTATGTACAAAAACCCCGCATTACTCTTTAAAACCTAATGACTTTTGACAGTTGGGTACACCTGCAAAATCATCACCACAATCAAGCCATGGCAGATTTCTATCAGCTCCAAAAGGTTCTCCTTTACCTTTTGTAGTCCAACCTCTATCCCTGTGACCAAGAAACCACTGAACTGCTTTCTGCCTTTAAATGAGTTCATGTGTTTTCCAAGAAGATATTCAGTTATGCCAGCACCATTTGTTTAAAAGAATGTTCCATTGAATTCCTTGACACCTTTGTTAAAAATTAATTGATCATCTATATCTGGATTTATTCTAGACGCTATTCTGTTCTATGGATCCACATGTGTGACCACCAATACTACACTATCTCAGTACTGTTGTTTCATAGCTAATCTTAAAATCAGGTTGCAAAAATCTTGATTTTAACATTAAATTAAATTAATTAATTAATTAATTTTTTGAGATGGAGTCCTTACTCTGTTGCCTAGGCTGGAGTGCAGTGGCGCAATCTCAGCTCACTGCAACCTCCACCTTCTGAGTTCAAGCAGTTCTCCTGCCTCAGCCTCCCAAGTAGCTGGGACTACAGGCATGTGCCACCACTGCCCAGCTAATTTTTGTATTTTTAATAAAGACATCACCATGTTGGCCAGGATGGTCTCAATCTCCTGAACTCATGATCCACCCGCCTTGGCCTCCCAAAGTGCGGGGATTACAGGAGTGAGTCACTGTGTTTTCTTTTTAAATATTGCTTTGGCCCTTATGATTTTCAACTACTAGGATTTTTGCTTATCTATGTTTGTGTGCCATAAAATGCAATTCTCTCCTTATTGCATGAGTCCTCTTATATGAGATGTCTAAAATAGTCACACTCCTAGAAGCAGAGAGTACAATGGTGGCTGCTAGGATCTGGGGCAAGAGAAAATGGAAAGTAGCTGTTCGATGGGTATAAAGTTTGAGTTATACGAGATGAGTAATTTCTAGAGATCTACTGTACAATCTAGAATCTCTGCAATTCTAGAGATCTTTAAGCATTGTGCTTACAAATAAAAAAATACTATACACTAAAATTTTAAGAGGGCAGATCTCATGTTAAGTGTTCTTCACACAATAACAAGAAATTTACATGTAAGAAAAAGTATAGAATTTTACATGGAAGGGGAATATAATTAATAAATTTAGTGGCCAAACATGGTGGCTAACACCTTTAATCCCAGCACTTTGAGAGGTTGAGGCTAGCTGATCACTTGAGGCCAAGCAATCAAGACCAGCCAGGCCAACACAGCGAAACCCAGTCTCTACTAAAAACACAAAAAAATTAGCTGGGCATGATAGCACATTCCTGTAATCCCAGCTACATGGGAGGCTGAGGCATGAGAATCACTGGAACCTGGGAGGCTGCAGTGAGCTGAGATTGTGCCAGTGTACTCCAGCCTGGGCAACAGAGTGAGACTCTTATCTCAAAAAGAAAAAAAAAAAATTAAAAAAATAAATAAATTTAGTTATAGCCAATGTACAATATATACTTTATATGTGAATTCATGGTAAGCATATTTAAAAGTAGATATAAGTAACCAAATTTAAAAATATAAACTGTACCTTTAAAAGCAAAGGCAGTTGCTCTTGCTCCTGATAGTAATTTTTATGTCCTCAAACCCTACTGTAAATAAACTACATAAGAATAATATTAAAGAAAATGGAATTTTTCTTATGATTGACAGACTAACTGGTGGTATACAGATAATATTCAAAAGTACCACAGGTGAGAAGCTGTGACATTTGAATATGAGCTTTCTGGGAACATAAGAAAATACACTAAACATGCACGAAATGATGCATTCTTTAATCAACTTTACAAATAAATGTCAAATGTTAGTGTGTGATGAAGAGCAAAGGTGGTAGAATCAGACAGACAAATCTCCATCGTGTGCACATGGCATGACAATGGGCATTCCACGTAAGTTCTACAAGGCTGATTTCTTTTTGTACAATGGTATCTATCTCAGAGGGTTGTTGTGAGGCTCACATGATATCATACATGTGAAACACATAGAGCACAGTCAGCCCACAGCAAGCACTCAGTTGTTAGCTATTAATATTGTCACAGAGGTTTGGTGTATCACATCTTATATATAAGAGCTTTCAAGATCAGATGAGACTATTTCATTCATGCATTACATAAAAGACGACTGGAGGATGTTGATAAACACATGTGGCTTTTTTTTTAACAATGTGACTTCGATGTATCTCATATTGAAATTTATTTTTAAGTTATAAAAGAAATTGACAAAATTATATACATTTAAATAACTAGCCTGCAACAAGATAGATATTATTCCTATTTTACATATGAGAAAACTGAGGTGGTGTTTTTGCCCAAAGTCACTCACAGGTGGCATTGAAGATTTGAACCCAGTTTGTCTCACTCAAAGCTTAATGCCCTTTGTCACCATCCTTCTGCGCCTTCAGGGAATGATTGAGGCATACAGATTTGTGCTTCAATGGAGTAGCCATTAGACAAACATGGCTGAAAACTTGAAATGTGACTAAATTCAGATGAGCTGTAAAATACACACTGTACTTTGAAGACTTACTACAAAAAAAGTAAAACATCTCAATAATTTTTAAATGTGTATCTCATATTGAGTATTTCGGATGTATTGTCCTACATATATAAAATTAATTTTACCCTTTTTTGTTTTACTATGGCTATTAGAAAAAAACTTAAAATTACTTATATGGCTTGCATGTTTCTATGTGTTGGCATTGATTTAGATCATTTCCACTTAGGTTCTGAAAAGTAAAATTTTAGTCAAAGGGAAATTTCCAGGAATTTAAAACATCAGTCAGCTACACTTAATCCTTCTTAGTTTACTGTCTTCTGAACTTAATAAGCATAGACCTTAAATTCCCTTTAGAGAAAGCATTTCATATTGGACAAGTTGAATGGTAATCTAGTAATTCTACAGATGGACTGGAGCATCTTACGATAAACTAATTATAGCAAAGACATAATCAATGATTTGGTGATCCTATTTTGTAGGCTGTTGCATAAATTCCTAGAGCCATTGCAAGGTAGGGTGAAGATGGTATATGTGTTGATCAGGAATCAAGAGTTGATTCAGAGATTTCATTTTGGTATGGGACATAAATCTCAGAATAGTCTCTGGGCTTCTTTTCATCATGATATTCTAGCACTGTGATAGGTAACATAATAGATGTCAAATGATAAAACGTCTTAATATTGTAGTATAAAGACTCTAAATCCCACCACTGTGGTATGTTGTAGGCCAGAAGGCTCCCTGGAAAAGCCTATTTAAGATTCATAACAGCAAAGTCAACTAGTTCTACTTTAGGCCTAAGAATTATGATATGAACTTTGAACAATCACAAAAATTACCTCTTCCTCAAGCATATGTTAATCAGAATTAAACCCTTAGTTATGAAAAACTCAGTTTTTTAAAAATAAAGTCTAACCTTTCCAAGATTAGAGAATATTCTGTTTGCAAACTGAGCTATTTAGCCTGCTTAAATTGGAAAGTAGAAGTAATCCTTTCAAAGCACAATTAGTGACTGCTTTCAGTGGACAGAGCAATCTAGCAAAATGCTCTGGAAAGTATAAAGGAAGCAGACAATACAAATTCTGCCCTCGGGGGTGGGATTTTTCTTATCTGTAGAGTTGCTCTCTAGCATCAGTGAGTGTTGAGGCCTGAAATCAAGAGTGGATACATCTTAGGTCCTTATCAGAAAGAAGACTTCCTTGGTCCATACTTAAACAGAAAGTTTTGGAATCATGGGTGCAGTCCATTCTCAAGTGAGAAAGAAGCCTCTTTCAACAATCTGCTTGGATAGATAAGGTCTTATTCTATTATCACTAGCTGTCAGCTGTACCTGTCATTTGGTGTCACTACCTTAGGCCATATCAAACAGAAAGTAACCTCTTTCTGCCACAAGGTATCTCCCTAGGTAGAAATCACAACATAAACTAAAGTACTCACTCTCAATATCCTGTTGTCACAGTGATTCAGTTCATATATTATCTATAACTTTTCTGATATGATCTAGTATGTTCTAACCCAAAATAAATATTCAATATTTGATTAAATAACATTATTAGTCTAGGGTGATTGGGTTACATAGAATGGATTGAAAGAGATCTAAGTCTTGGTGGACATTTAAAAAATTTAACTTAAAGAGCACCTGGTATAAATCCATTCCCCTACAGTGTTCTGATGTTGAGAAGATAAAACTTTGGCAACAACCATAGAGGGGCTAGGTAGTCAATGGGAAATCCCTGCTGTAGAGACTGACAGTAGGTATTAAATAACTAAGTGTGTGCTGGATGAATAATGTTCTGGACCCAAGAAAGACATACACAGGTAAAAAATGAATTCATGCCTTTTGTCTTGTTCAAAACTTGTACTTTATTTTTCGCAAATATTTTTACTTATGCTGTTTGTCATTATCCACAGTGGTTTTTTTTTTAATTTGTTTGTTTTTTAAAAGCCTGAGCCACTTTGTGGTTTTAGCCTCAATATAATAATCATCCCCTTACTCTGAGAATTCATTTTTCCATCAGTTTGCCTTTGTATAGTTTGTAAAAATAAGGACCTTAGAAAATCAACATTTCCTGTGAACTCGAGAGATTATGAGAGCAGTGCCCAACTCTGTAGGATTAGGCAGGTAAAACCAGTTGAATAGCAGATATATTATGATCTCTTGGATAAAGGTATAGTTGTGTGCATGTCTACAAGGTCATAGTGATTCGCCATTAGCATAACGATCATTAGGTTGACCAGGGTGAGGTAGGACTATCCAAGGGATTGTGTAAATTGTGGTAGGGGAGGCAGTATACAATATTCATGAATTAAACACCTAGCTAACTGCTTTCCTGAAAATGGTCTGTGTTCTAAATGACAAGGATCTAGATTTTTTGCTGTTTTTTCCTTAACTTACGAAGATTCAAGTAACTAATATGTTACTTGCTCTGGTTTAAAATGAAAGCAACTGGCTATGGTAAGGTAGAGAAGACGCTGAATTATATCAGAATATTTTAGACTTTTAAATTAGGTTCTGAGTTACCTCACCTTATAAAAATATATGTCAATATACAATTACTAATTGTATATTGCTAATCACTCAACAAAGATCCAGGATGTGGGATATTTAAAAATACATTTCTCTTGGATCAGCACCAAAAATATCAGTTTCTATACAACCCGTGTCAAGTTTTGAAGTATACACACATTAAAATTATTTCTGATAAAAACCACAAACTGCACAGAAATCATTAAAGATATATGCAAACAACTTTCAAATACATTTGACATCAAAGTCAGGCAATCCGCTTGGAAGAACATTATAATGAATACCACAGAATTTTTGTAGTAAGATGTTTGACATCAACTTTGATTATGGGAATACTTTACATCTCACACAAAGGAGGCACTGGCACTTAGAAACTTAAGAAAATTACTATAACTGTTAAGACTGAGGTGAAGAATTTGTACAGCCTTCAACAATTTCAAAGAGGTAGTGATAGAGACTTGTCCTCCTGGCAATATCAAATGCAGTTTCTTCCAAGTTGTTTTTCAGCCCTGGTTTGACGTAACGGTTCATCAGGAGGAGTTCTAGGGTATCCTTGCTGTCTCTGTTCCCAGCAGCAAGATGCAAAGGGGTCAAGAGGCCTTTTGTTTGGGCATTGATATCTGCATCATGCTGCAGTAAGAAAGAAGCCACTCTAGTATTATTCCACTTACAAGCACTGTGCAGGGGCGTCCAGCCATCCACAGTCACTGCATGAACATCTGCCCCCTGTGCAATGAGCTCCCGGACAATATCTAAGTGTCCACTGTAGGCTGCGCGATGAAGAGGGGTATACTCATCTTCATCCCTAGTGTTCACATGAGTGGCCTTTTCAGAAAGTAGTCTCCGCACTGTAGTAAGCTGAGAAGAAGAAAAGAAATCTTTCAACTCAACTCAAACCAAAACAACAAATAAAACAAAGTTGCCATGTGGTGTTAGATTTAATTAAATTGAATAAAAACATTGAATAAAAATGAAAAAAAAGCAGATGACTTTAAAATGACAATGATTTAATATCTCTTTTTTTGGGAAGAGAGGTCTACTGATTTAAGAAGGGACAAGTTAGTGTTAACTACACTTTGTTGCTTCTAAGAATGAGATTCTCTGAATATCAAACCATACATTTACTCCTGGTCCAACTAAGGTTTACTGCATAAAAGCTTCAGTCCAATGAATAACATAGGTTTTAATTGTATTTAATATTTTATATGTTATCTGTGAAGAAAATATAACTGCTTGATTTTTCCATAGTAGGATTATCACATCAATATACACACTGTATGAAACGTTTAACAATAAAACTTTTAACAGAAGAAGAAAGTATTAATAAGGAATTCTAGGGATTCAAGAGCTCAATTCCTTCTAAATACAATCCTAGAAACACCCTTTCAGGTTGTAACTCTTAGTTTCTTATATGGGTCTCTGGTTAAATGTGGCATGCTCTTGGGTTAAAAAGCTATTTAAAATGCAAGACCCTTTTAGTTATTAGTTTACTAACACAGGCAATGGGGAAACTTTGTAAAATGAGGTGGAAGTGGAGAAGTAGGGTTCATTCCACTTTGATGATCCTGGGAAATTAATATTCCTGAATCTCAATTTCTTACTCTATAAAAGAGAAGACTATTACTCCTAGGGATATATGAGGATTAAATAATGTAATAATGTACTTAGTATAGTTGGTATTTAATAAATGTTAATTTCCATCCTCTCTTTCCTAAATGATCCTAATGACTTTATATAAATGATTTTAAAATACAGATGATTGCTTGTTATCTTTATGGATAATTATCCTTAACCCCCCAAATAATACCTAGCATGATATGTTGCAGCGTAATATGTGCTTTCATGTACATTGCCTCATTTGATCCTCATAATTGAGACATAGGTGCGATGGCCATAATGGTAAGGGCAGTCTTCTGGACTGAACCCAGTGCTTTTCCTACTGTTACACTTCCCTCTTTTTTTTTTTTTACCCGGTTTTTTTCAGCAGCCCAAAGAAGCAATTTGCTTGGGTCTTTTTCCATTTTTTTTTCTTGCAATCGATACCACTCTTCATCTCTTTCATCTTGCTCCTCGTCTTCATCAGAATTGCCTACCCAGAGACTTTGAGTCCCAGTAGGAATAAGGTGTCCATGTGTTTCCAACAATTCAAGTTGGTTAAAGTGTTCAGAAAAATCCAAGGAGTTCTCTTGGTCTGGTATTCCATCATTTCCTTTTTCTTTTTCCATTTTTACTATTATTCTAAATAAAAAGCATTTCAAATGCCAGGGTAAAAACAATCTTTCTAGTGATGAATTATGACTGCTTTATTCATCAAGATCTGAAAATACAAATACAAAAGTTATTAGTAAAACAGTAATTCAAGCTTTATCAATTGCATAGATAAATCTTGCAAATATTCACAATTAAACTCTGTCTAAACTCTTGTTTTCCTCACGATATCCCTTACATACACTGAATATTGCTGCTGACAGATTTCAGTTATCTATGCTCTTTAATGGTCTAATGCTTCTTTTGTTGTTTTCTTCTAAGTCAACTATATTACTATAACATTTTTAATCTTTAGGTATGAGGGTATTATGCTAACAGTGATGAATGCTTGAAGGTTTTGAAGTATAACTAATACAATGAAGACAGGTGCATTGAAGCTTTTTATAAACTAGACACACAGATAATACAGAGCAGACATAAAAACTTCTAATTCCTAAAAAACTACTTCGAAGAATCAGGGATTCTTGAAGATGAAATAGCCAGCCCCCAAAAGGACATCTGTCCCAGTCTCTGATCAGTGTTTATATCTTTATCACAACATCTAGAGTAATTATCCTATTTCAACTTTGATAATTTCAGGCCGAGGAAACTTTACTGCTTTAAAAAGTAGTCCTATTCATTGATAGGCAACTATGGTTCTTAGTTGGCTCGTTGTTTTCAACTGAATTTTGGCTACCATTCTTTCCTTCATACAAATCATATGAATAGAATGTCTTGTATGTGCCAATTTCTGGGTACTGGGATTCAGTAATGAGCAAGACCCATGTCTTCACCTCAGGAAGCTTATTCTAGTGTAGGTGACTGGCAAAGATACCAGGTGTCTGGCAAAGACAACATGATAAGTACAATAGAACCATGTCTAGAAACTATGAGAATACAGTAGGTTCATAATTCCCCTAGTCCTAAGGGATTAAAGAAGGCTTCCTGAAGGAACTGATGTTTATTCTGCCAAGCTGCCGCATTAATTTATAAACCAGTATCTGCTTAAAGAGTTACACAGCATATAAACCTTAATCAATTAAAGAAAAGGAGAAAAATCAATAGATAATTTAAACATACCAATTCTTAGCCTCTGAACTATATGTGTTGAAATCTTATCAGTCTTTCAAGGCTCTTCTCAGATGTTATCTCTTTCATTCTTTCTTTATCTTCCCATTTAGATCTCACTCTGCTTTCTACTTTTTTTGGTGCTACATTTTGTTGTATTTCACCCCTAACTTTGTTCTTGTTTCAGCCCCTTAAATATTATAAGCTTAAAGATAAGGACCACATTAAATTATATTTATCTACCACTTGTCTACAGAAAGCATTAAGAAATACATCTGGCATTAAATTTAATTAAAGTCTTGGCACTTGATTTTGCCTGGAATGGATTCTGAGACGTTCCAGAGTTAGTTATGCCTATACATCTTAGGCATAACCCCAAGATGCTGATTTCTTTGTGCCTAATCTCACAAGTTTAACAGTATACAATCCTAATGTACTAAATTTTATTACTAGTAGCAATAGCACTAAACTCAAGTTTAAATTTATTACTCATGTCCAGTAACTTTTCTCGACCTGTTACTTTATTGTAAAATGTAAGAATTTTACTAAAGTGATCCCACTTTTCAGTCCCAATCAGAGACACCCAATCAGAATTGCTTTGTGTTTTATTAATTCTGCTGGAGCTTCCACTTTCCTTCTTAAATTAATTCCTGAACCTTGCAACACAAAAATGACCATACATCATTCATTTATTAGCAGATGCTAATAAATAATGTAAAGTTCACTTGTAATTATATCAAATATAGTAACCTTATACCACAGATCCTACCCTTTCCCCCAACGTGCCTTTCCTTTTAATAAAAACTCCCTTTATATAAATTTTGAGTTTACAGATCCATGTACAATAAATTATATAAAAAATTTTACTGGCATATTTAGTTTAAAAAGCCAAACCTAGGCGCATCTACCCGATTCACAGTTAAAAATCAAAACTGATTAGCATCCTTATTTGATGATGATATCAGGAATATCAGGGTATGTTTCCTAACTTAAAGGGCACATCCTATTTTGAGAGACAACCGAACTATGTCAACTCCTTACAAACAACTCAACGATAGGCGCGGCTATAAACCTTGCAGCTGAAGGCACTGGGATTCAGAGGGATTAAAACAACTTGCCCTAGATCAAGGACCATTCAATGGAACTGAAAGGGCAGACATTCTAATTCAAAAGTTCCACATTATTTTTCACCGCCCTATACATCTTACTGCTCTCAGCACAAAGCAATACAGATGTGCTGAACTCAAGGACCTAGGGGTGACACCTGTAGAAGTTCTGGCGAGTGGGAGGGAGGGAGAAGGCACCCAGCTCCGGCACCCTGCCACCGGCCGAGAGCTCACAGGCCCACGAGCTCCGTCTGCGGCCCTCCAAACAGCCAAGAACCAAGAAGCGGCTTCAGCCCTACCTGGGGACCGCGAGGCGGCCCGACCCGCATGGCTCGGCCTGTGTCCACAGGCCACCCACCCCAATGGGCTCAGGAGTTCTTAGATGGCGCGAGTCCACCAGGAAGCGAGGTCCGGGACAGGGAATAACCACCCACCGGACAGAAGGGAAAATCGCCGCCGTGCAGCATCTCACTTCCGGGTTCGTTTCCTCGGCTGCTCAGGATTGGCTCCTGCGTGAGGCGGGTCCTCTCCGCTACTTTCCCCGCCCCCCCTACGGAGTGCGGCAGCCAATGAGAACCAAACTGGACTTGACGCGTCTACGTCGTCCTTAAAGTGTCGCGAGAGAAACGGACGCCGTTCTCTCCCGCCGAATTCGGGTTTAGGGCCCTGCGTGTTCTCAGAGGCAAGTTCGGACAGCGCTGTTTTCTTCTCACGGATGCCGCCGTTTCTTTCCGGAAAGCAGACCGCCTCGGGTCCAGCCGGTGGGGCTTTGAAGAGTCCAGCACTGGAGTCATTTAGAAATTGCATCCGCCAGCTGTTCCTGCAGGTTCGCAGGCGGAAGCCCAGGGTTCGCTGGAACCTCGGGAGGACCGGGCCGAGCGGGCCGGGAGCGGGGGTCCTGGCGGGTCCCCTGCGTTCTCATTTCGAGGCGCCCCGCGGTGCGGGCGTGTGGAGGCTTGGAATCCCGGCGGAATTGGGAGCTGCAGACGTGGTGCGGGTTGTCTCGCGGTGGCAGCCGCTCCTCCCCAAATTCAGCTTTTTTCAGTCATCCTACTGGTACCTAAAGGTGCTCCTCCGCAGACCAAGTGTTCGTTTACATTCGCATTAAACGCGGGGCCCTTCCCTTTTCCAAACAAGCCAGGTTCTTTAAAAAAGAAAACAAATCGAGTGTTTGAGCAGGAAATACGGATTGCCTCCGTTCTCCAGAGCAACTTACGCGTGCAATTTAGAAATATCTGCACCTCCAGAGTTGTTTTTGTGTTGAACCAGAACTGTGTGTGACACTCTTTTTGCTCATTTAACATATACTAATTTCCCATAAGAGCACGGTAAACGAAAATAGGAGTCTAATCATCCTGGTGAAACTAGAATGGCATGGAGATGTATTATTTTCTGTGCTTAGCTCATTCAAAAATAAAAGTATAGTGGGTGTTTACGTGAAAATGAGACTTCTAGATTTGTCAGTCTGCTTATTTAAGACGTCTATACCTTATGCAGCGTGAATCATGTTGGTTAAATATGTGCAGGCTTTTTAAAAAATGTGTTTTATGATGTAATTTTGTTTTTAGAATTTCTAGAATTTGGAATCGTGTGCATTTTCTTACATTTGAGTACCGGACCCAGGGGTTTTTGGGGAAGAACCTGGTCCCAGAGGAGCTTGACTGACCATAAAAATGAGCCATGCAGACGCACTGTAAGCACCTAACTTCTGGTATCCCTCGTTATTTGGGGTTTCTAAAGCTTGTCGACTGTGATCACAATAAAAGAACGCTTATTTAATAAACAGTAAATAAGGAACCTGCTTGTGAACAGAAATATTAGTCATCAAAAAGGATATTTGGAATGTTTTAAATTTTTATCTTTCTTAACTGGAAGCTAATATACAGCTATAGGCTGACTCTTGCTGTAATCTGATATGTATCGCTGTAGTATTGAGTTTATGTTCTGGGGCTTTGTTGTAAATTATTGAAGTTATAAATATTCTTGAATTTTCCTGACAAATTCTTATTAGTCAATGCAGTTTCTGTTTAAGATTTTTAGAGTACATTCCTCTAGTATTAAATAAGCTCAAAATGACTTACAGCAAAATGGGAATAAATAAAAGGACTGTAAAAGTTACGTGGGAAAGACTTTAGACTTGGAGTCTTTCACCCTTGTTTCAAGTCTTTGGATGCTACTAGCTGTGTGACCTTGGGCCAAGTCAACAATTCAGTCAGCCTTGCCTCAGTTTGCCATTTGTGTAATTGGAATAATTATATCTTTATCAGATTAATTTTGAGGCTTAAATGAGAGAATTCATATGAAAATATTTTATAAATTGCACAGAAACATGTAGTATTGTGATTTGAAAAGTATTCTGACCTACCTTCTTAGATACAGCAGTCAGAACTGTGTGCATATTATTTTTGAAGTTTTTGAAGAGAAATTGTTTCTGGAAATATCTTTTGTTTGTAAAGACTTGAATTTTGGAGATATACAGAAATTTTTAGAAAATTCATTGTGGTTTATTGAAAATAGCCTGAGTTTTCATCATGGGTTTTAGTCCTGTTTCTGTCCCTAATTGTGTAATAAAGCAGTTAATTTATCTGGGTTTAGCCTTCTCGTTTGTCAGAGATACTAATGCCTGACTCTGTCTCTGAGGGTTGAGATAAGATCATAGAAATAAAAGTATTTTATACAATTAAAGTTAAATTTAGTGTAAGTGAGTATTAATAACTATTGCATTGCTACCTTTGAATCTTGCCAAATTCAAATTGAAACAACTCTGTTTTGTTACTTGGCCAATTTTATTAATGAAATCCAACTCTTTATAGAGAGTAAAGCAGGTGACTTCAGGGGCCTGAATGTAGGTTACTAGAATATTAGTATAAAATTGACTTATAAACTTAGAGGAAGGCTTTTTAAATTAACTTTGATTTTTCTAGAAGAGTACACAGTCAGATTAATAACAAGTTTAGATATAGGTTCAAACCTTTTTGATTTTTGCCGTGCAACAGAAGAGGAAAACAAGCCGACTGTGAGGCCTGGGTTACGTGAGTTTGTAAAACTGGTTATGACAACGTTATAAATTTTTGAAGCAGTTACAGAACCTTGTAAAGATTTGTGTGTATTTGTTCTATATTGAACTAGTGGTTAGGAAAACTGTAATGTTAGTGATATGTTGACTACTTCAGATTTTCAGATGAATTATAAGGCTAAGGATTTTATTCCATATCTGTTATTATTTGTTTTATAAGTTTAATTCTCAATTTGTTCGCATATCCTTTTAATAAATTATTAATATATTGAAATGTTTCTTAATACAGTGATGATGAAAACACGTTTAAAATCTTAGTTGCAACAGATATTCATCTTGGATTTATGGAGAAAGATGCAGTCAGAGGAAATGATACCTTTGTAACACTCAATGAAATTTTAAGACTTGCCCAGGAAAATGAAGTGAGTGTGGTTTATATTTGTGCAATTTCTAGTATATCCTTTTGGTTAACAAGTTATTTTCCCTTCTAAATTTAGAGATTTGTTTTATAAGCTCAGGTGTTTACTTTGCCTGCTTAAATGTCAATATACTAAAAGCTCAATGCCGATTTTATGTGCTTCGTGTGCTAAATTCAGTTAGGAGCTGCTTTTGTAAATAGACTGTTAAAATTTATAGATGTTTTTGGGGTGTTTACTGAATGCAGGATCCTGTGGCAGTGTCTGTTTGAAATGTGACTGTCAAAGCTTTTGCTTTCAGAGGACATAGAAGCCAACCAGTGTGAAAGATAAGACAAATATGCACAATCCTCTGATGCAAGGTTGTATATGATAGGACCCGTAAGAAAATTCTAAATAGCATTTCCTTTGAGTTTAGAGGCAGAAAATATCACATTTACATGATAGCAAGATGAGCTTAATGAAGAAGGTTGTGTTTAACTTGGGCTTTGGAGGAAGGGTAGAATTTTGGCCAGTGAGGAGCATAGACAATGTACATCCATGTGAAGCAGGAGTGAGGGCACAGGTGAGACAGTGTTAGGTATGTTAGGGGCCCTGTAGTCAATTTGCCTCTCCAGCAGGTCATAGTTAGCAAGCATACTGAGAGACTAGAAGTGAGGATTTGAGCTGTAGTAAGGAGGGCTTCAAATTTCAGATTGAGAAATTTCCACCCAGTTCAATAGAAAGTCTTCTGGCAGCAGAGTATAATAGCATGAATTGGAGACGAGTTTGAGACTTTTTTGAGGTGCTGACCTTAGGGATGGAAAAGAGGAAATGAATGCAAGAGATACTGCAAAGAGAGGATTTATGTTTTTCGGTTAGTTGTGGAGGATAGGGATGAGGACAAACGGATGACAGTGACTCTTAAGTGTGTGGTGTTTGGGTGAATAGTTACACAAAAATAGAAATAGATAAGGAAGAGAGACTTCTTCATGTGGGAAGTTGACAAATTCTGATTTCGACAGATTTAGAGTTGGAGACTGCAATGGGACATTCACGAAGAATTCGCAGCAGGCAGTTGAAACATCAGCCCAGGAGAGAGCTGGAGAATAAACATAAATGATGACTTGCAAATTAGCACCTCCAACCTTGACTTTTCTGTGGAGTTCTCTTCGGTTTATCTGCTAGGTCCTTAGTTCTTCCTCTCAAATGTATATGGTGCCTCTCTACTACTGTCTTCACACTAGTAAACTTAGTCCAAAAGTTTATCACATTTCACATGGACTGCAGTAGGTCCCCTTTGGTCTTTCTGCTTCCATTCTTTGGTGCTACATCTACTCAGCCTAGCAGCCAAAGTGAACTTTTAAAATAATAAATCAGATCATGGCACTTTGTTGTCTAAAATTTTCCAAGTGTCCTTCCATTGAATCTAGGTTCAACTCAATCTTGGCCCCTGCCATGAAACCTTGTGTCCTGCTACCCTCTGCCTTATTTACACTGCTACATCCACACTGGCCTGTTCTACTCTGAGGCCTTTGCACATCTAGTTCTTTCTGCTTGGAGCACCTTGATCTTGGCGGGGTCAACTTTTGAGTTCTCAGTTCAAGTCTTACCTTTTTGGAGACATCTTCCCTGATGCTTCCAATCACTGTTTTATCACATTACTCTGCTTTATTTTTTTCATAGCATATTTTTAATAGCACTCTCTGAAATAATTTATTGAATTGTTTACTTGTTTTTTATCTGTCATCTTCACTAGAAGGAACACTCCATGAAAGTGAAAAATGTTTTGTTTGTTCATGCTAAATCTTAATGCTTAGAAAGGATCAGAAAGCAGTGAGTACGCATGTTTTAAATTTGTTAATTGAGTGAGGCAGTGGCTGGATTCTTTTTATTTTAGGTTCAGAGGTACATGTGCAGGTTTGTTATATAGATAAACTCATATGACAGTGGTTTGTTGTACAGATTATTTTGGCACCCAGATACTAATTCTAGTACCCATTAGCTATTTTTCCTAATCCTTTCCCTCCTCCTAACCTCTGCCTCTGGTAGGTCCTAGTGTCTATTGTTCCCCTCTCTGTGTCTATGTGTTCTCATCATTTAGCTCCCACCTAAATGGGAGAAGTGGTATTTGGTGTTCTATTCCTTCGTTAGTTTGCTAAGGATGATGGCCTCCAGCTTCATCCATGTCCCTCCAAAGGTCATGATCTGGTTCTTTTTAATGGCTTCATAGTATTCCATGGTTTCTATGTACCACATTTTCTTTATCCAGTCTACCATTGATAGACATTTAGGTTGATTCCATGTTGCTGCTATTGTGAATAGTACTGCAGTGAAGATATGTGTGCATGTGTCTTTATGATAGAATGATTTATATACCCTTTGGGTTTATACCCAGTGATAGAATTGCTGGGTCAAATGGTAGTTCCATTT